ATTGATTGCAGATTAGCTAAATTATCTATCGTAAAGGATCGTAAGATGCAGTCACAGAAATATATAATAAGTACGTTTAAACAAGTGACAACCTTACGACAGATCCATCCATTGGATCACAATTTAAGGTGATACACTGATATTCATAATTTCTCTAACGATCAACAATACATATATAAAAAAAATCTCATCATGTATTTCAATACCAAAATAATGACTAAAATGGACTGATTTGTTCAATTTCCATTAAAATAGAGGTAACCGTATTGTATTTGAAGTTTGTCCTACTAAAACATGGTTTAACTGTCCAAAATATCCAATTACCACCCACGTTTTACCTAGACCAGGCTTCAATACAATATTGTTATCTCTTACTTTTAACAATCAAAATGGCTTTTGGATAAAAGAAAGCAAACTTTTATGATGCATTTTAAAAAAATAGTGGTATATTTAATTTAAGAAGATATATACGACTAAATACATAACCAATCCTTTGAAACTATATCAAACACCAACACAAAAAAACAACTATAGGACATACATCAATATGTGTAAGCCACTAATGTCAACTAAAAGAATAAATACACTGCCATGTCCGAGCTGCGTTTTGTTACTCATTTTTCTGCTTTGTATCGATCCAGTGTGTTAAGCTTTTTTTAACTGATTTTTATAGTTTGTTCATATGCTTTACCGTTACACCACTGTCCCAGGTTAGGGTAGGGTTGGGCGCCCACTAACATGTGTAACCCCGCCACATTCTGTATGTGCCTGTCCCAAGTCAGGATCCTGTAAAAGAGGGACAAAAGATACCAGAGGGACAGTCAAAACTCATAGATCGAAAACAAACTGACAACGCCATGGTCAAAAATAAAAAGACAAACAGACAAACAATAGTACATATGACACAACATAGAAAACTAAAGACCAAAAACTGGGAGTGATCTCAGGTGCTCCGGAAGGGTAAGCAGATCCTGCTCCACATGTGGCACCCGTCGTGTTGCTTATGTTATTACTAATACGGTAAATAGTCTAATTCGGTAAATAACATTCGTGAAAAGGGAAGGGTATTGTAGTTACGAAATAAAGAACATATCCGATATCATCTGTGAAACGGTTATTCCATAACGGTCAACAAACTCATGACGGCGTCCGTAAAATTTACGAAGAGATGATTTCAACTTCACCATTTGGAACACTTGGTTTAATAGCTTCCTTGTGAGCAGCAATCCTCTATCAAGGGAATCATGATAGGAAACACAAGCCCGGGAATATCAATTGGGAGATATATACTCCGTATGCAGGCGCTGCTGGAATGTTGCTACATAGAAATGAAAAGTTCACAACTGGGAAGCTGAAATCATCTCTTTTGTCGTAAAGTTTTGTTTTCAACCGACCCTCTTTGTCAATTTCTAGATGTAAGTCAAGATATCTAGTCTAAAAAATATGTTGATTAAAACGTTTACTGGCACAAAATGCTGTTTTAGTAGGGATAACACACGCTAGGTAAAAAAGGGAAACATTGAACATTACATACAACGCTTATATTTACCATAGAATAGCATAAAAAAATAGAAGTAATTCAAAACTAGTTTCGCTTCCCTTTTTTGGGAAGTTCAATAATTCTAAAAATCAATTTTTAAGTCCCTTTAAAGTACTGATAATCCCTTTTGAAAAGGTGTGAACACGTTAGAAATTTTTTTCCGTTAAGGCAATATTAAAAAATTTAAAACAACAGGTTTAATAATTTCATGCGTCTGAAGCGCTTTTCTGAATTTACCTTATGCAAGCTCCAATACACACGAGACTTTTTGGAAACACGTTAAGATAACAATCGGAAATAAAACAAAATATAAATTGAACGTTAAAATAGAATTGAAATACTAAATATATACATGAAATATTATGACTTTTGATCTTACATATGGACTTATATGATATCACACCAATTTCATTGCATATCAAGTTGAAATATCTGCGATAAAAATATTTAAATCATAATACGATTTGTTGCAATAATTTGGAAAAAATGAAATGGTCAATTAATGTCTTCAGTTATAAATATATTCTTTAATTCCTCCAAATGCTCAAAAGAAATGTATGATATTTTGAATAAAAAATCCTGAATAAAAAAGGTGAACAATTGGTATTTAACTTTTGATACAAAATGTAATTGAAAGAATATACATCTATTGCCATATACTATAACAAAACAAACATGCAATAACCTTTGTTTCATTACAGAATAATATATAGAATTTAAGGCACAAATAAATTCTTGTTCAAAATAAAATCGAAAGACACTGTTTATTGTACTGTTGGATGTTGTTAAGCTGAAATAACAGAACATATACATTTTGGCTTGTCCAAGCATATCAACAACACGGGAAGACCACTCGAAAAAAAAAGATATAGAACTAACGCTTAAGACTGATTTTGTTTTATATGTATTTCGTATTTAAAAGATATACAAACATGTTAACATATTGATGTGCCATCAATTGAAATAAAAGTTAAATCACAAAAATACTGAACTTCGAGGAAAATTCAAAACGGAAAGTCCCTAATCAAATGGCAAAATCAAAAGCACAAACACATCAAACGAAGAAGATAGTTTTGCCATAAAAATAGTTTGCACCATAATCTAAATACATTCATCAATGAATAACAATGTTACAGAAATCAGACAAACTGTTTGCTATGGTTGAACAAAGATAAATCATTATTAAACTCTGAAAAAAGGGGAAAAAAATAAAAATATAAAAAAGAGAATTAGACTTATAACATGTCTCCATCGAGTTTCTGATTGCTTTTTATTAATGTCATTTTGCCTTTCACAAATTTTATTTTGCCTTTCATTTACTTTACTTGCTGGTCTAGGCTTTCCTGAAAATACATAATAAAAGTCATATTTAGTTTATGTATTAATATTTGTATCCTTGAAATACTTATATATACCAATTCTTATTTTTTTCCATACGTTTTTATATGTGTGATACAGTTTTGGATTTTATCTAAGGTATGAATCTAAAACAAAGAGCGTTTTCTGTGATATTTTTGTTTCTTATTATTATGTACGCTAACAAAATACTAAGAAAGCTAACTTTACAAACTTTACCACAATAGCATACAGAACACATGAGTTTGCTGAATACGGAGAACATTAGACTCTAATCTACCACCCCTAACGACAATAAGAAGTTGAGTAAGTATCGATGACTAAAACAACTACACAAAACTACAACACAGAAACATAGCGTTTGGTAGCATATAATAGTCAACTGAGTGAAAATTCCATTAATTCATTAAATACTTTGATGTTATTTTATTATACTTCACGTAAAAATGCAATATTTTGATTGGCTTATACCAGGGTGTTAATTTACTCTATTCTATGGTAAATACTCTATTACCCTTCACGGAGACGCTTGATCAAGTGTGCGCTTTATTAAATACGACTCTATCCTATGGCAAATACTCTATTACCCTTCACGGAGACGCTTGATCAAGTGTGCGCTTTATAAATACGGATGGTTGTTATGTACAAGACGTCATAGTTTATTACTTTGAATTTGAAATTTAATCGACAGTAATAACAGAACATTCAGTATAATAAATTAAATAACACATATCTGAGAGGGTGATAGAGCAGATTGTTACCCCTCAAAAAGACATTGTCAACCTTGGCTTCGCCTCAGTTGACAATGTTTTCTCGGGATAACAATCTGCTCTATCACCCTCTCAGCTATGTGTTATTTATATAATGTTAAGTTATAAGATTGGATCAAGTACTCCTGAATGAAGGGATGCGCAAGCCCGACAGAATCAAAAACTGTTTAGATTCCTTATTCATTTATTAATCTTTTTTTGAATTGTTAGAATATATAATGTTAAGAAAGTTTCAAATAGTTTACTCTGATCACCCGTCTCGAAGGGCTAGTGTAAGTTTTTCCGTCATCAGTCGTCTGTCAGCCGTCTCTAATCAACACACAAAATTTAAAAGCTGACGTCGGTGCTATGTTTAAGGTTTACTAAAACCATTGTCGAAAATCGTTACTAAATTTTGTTTTCATTGCAGCTTATTTAGAAAGTCACCAGTGTCAGAAAATGTTTGTCAATTAACAGTCTGTGTTACAAATAAACTTAAAAGAGAAATGAAATAAAGTCGACATTATTTTTTTAGTGATAATAATTTTGGAATTTAGAAAAGTAGGGTGAGACTCATGAATTCAATAAACACACTTTACAGAATTACAACAGTCATGTAGAATAAAAATGTTAAAACCAAGTTAAGCAAATTTATCGCACCTCGGGTAAATTATCACTTTGTGAATGGTTTAGCGCCATCACGTGGTGACCCCTATGGATCCGTAAGGGGTCAGTAGATAGATTTCATAGGGTATCACGACGTCACGTCTATAATGTTTTGATATTGTATTTCATTGTTTTTTTTTTATACAAGACCTGGCAGTAAAAGTCCCTTGTGCGATAAATTCGTTATACGGTTCGCTACTAACCCCCTATGGATTCATATAGGGTAAGTAAAATCCATAGAAGATTTAGCCGTCTGCCTCATCCTTTTATGGATTTTACTGAAACTCTATGGATCTGTAGGGGGTCAGTAGCAAACCATATAACTTACAATTTTTTAATCAAAAAATTAAAAGGCATAATAGATAAAATACGTTCAATTAATCCGATAGCGATTGTAACATTGTGCATATTGAATTGTCACACTTATAATAAGACAGTAATAAGACTAGCACTTCATACATTTGTTCCGTCCAAGACACTCAATATAAGATCATCCTTAGTTGGAACCTTAGTTTCTTTGTAATTTCTTAATTTCAAATAGTGCTCCGCCATGTCCTCTGTTTGGAAATAATTATTCTTTTGATTACCAATAGTAATGATTTAATAATAGTAATATATCTGTTGTAAAGGACATAATTTCAATAACTGAAAAGGGGAAAACAATAAAAATATAAAAAAGAAAATTTTACTAATCACATGTTTCACTCGAGGTCCTTGCCTTCCATTTTCATTTGCTGATCTAGGCTTTCCTGAAAATTATATAGATATGTCAGATTAGGTTGGTATTAATTAATATTTAAAATATTTATATATTCATCAATAGTTTTTTGCTTTTTCTTTACATAGATATAGGAAGATGTGGAATGAGTGCCAATGAGATAACTCTCCATCCAAGTTACAATTTATAAAAGTAAACCATTAAAGGTCAAGGTACGGCCTTCAACACGGAGCATTGGCTCACACCGAACAGCAAGCTATAAAGGGCTCCAAAAAATTACTAGTGTAAAACCATTCAAACGGAAAAACCAACGGTCTAATCTATATAAAAACGAGAAACGAGAAACACGTATGAACTACACAAACAGACGACAACTACTGTAATCAGATTCCTGACTTAGGACAGGTGCAACCATTTGCAGCGGGATTAAAAACGTTTTAATGGTACCAAACCTTCTCCCTTTTCTGAAACAATAGTATAACATCACAACATAGAAAAACACACTATAAAATATCAATTGGAAGGCTTAACTCAATAAAAAAAACGTAAATCAACACACAATGAACGAATAAATTTGACCTGTGACACCTGAATGCAAATACACAGTTAATAAAAAATTACAAGGGATAAATAATTAACGTCAAAAGTAAATAAACAGGTTTAAACAAAGTTAAAGTATGATATCACTGTGAAATGTCAAACAATTTTTAGAAAATCATCACTTTTGAAGAAACATGCGTCATATTATACACAGGTTAATGAAAATAATTTTGTTGTTAAGTATACTTCTTCTTCTGTGTGTATAAAATCTTCCGTTTATGAATACCAAGAAATTTCTTTAATATCAATAAAACTAATCTAACACTTGGTACATATAGGGTGAATATCAACGATAAAACTATACAATTAGTGCTCAATAACTTCCTGTACAGGTCCAAGAACTGCATCTAAGGAAAAATGAAATAATTTTGATTTTCATAGTACGAAGATGTCAATATTTTATGCTTGATATACGTGTGGATTTTGCGTTTGTCTATGATTTTTGTTTTTGATACCATATAAGTACAAATATAATTAAAAGCAATAATTTTTTAGGGCTAAAAGAATTCATAAATAAAAAACACCCAAAAACAAATTGTTTTATATCAAAACAACTTTTAGAACAATCAGGCAATGTGTTTTAACTCTTGTACCAGCAAATATGTCGTTCAGAGAAAAATGAAAAATTGAAATAAAACGACACCGACGAAGTCCATTTGTTGTACCAAAGTTTTGTAAACGCTATAATTTCACCTTTTTCGATTCATTTTATCAATATCGTTGCACAAATAGTTTGGTGTAACGCAAACGATATAAAACACTCTTCAGTACTCATTTTGAATGATACAATAATAAAACCTATCTTAAAGTACACATCTCAAACAATTATATTACAGTATTGTCTGATTATCGGAGCAAGTGTAATGATTTGTGGACTGTTTGTCATTTTCCTTTTGGTCAGGTTTCCGGGGTTTTTTATATACACCTATAATGGTTTTTATTCTCCTATAGATATTTTTATGCTTACTTTATATTATAAAGTGCAACCTGTATGAAAATCGTATATTCGCTTTTAAACCGTGCCCTTCATCGAAGAAAGCATGACGTATAGTGTGCTTGTTCGTTCGGGCTCTAACCCTGGTCAAACCAAAGACTTGACAATTGGTATTTATTCCTTTTTCGCTACGAATGAACTTCTATATAACAAACTTTTATCAATAGTTAGGTTTGTCTGAGAATCATGGTTATACGCACCTGAACCTCAGAAGATTTCAAATCAGCCTCCTGTCTTGTCGTAGGATCATGTGGGTTGTCAAGTAAGGTTCTGGCTGATTCAAGTCTTTGTCTTATGAATTCTGGAGGATCTATGAAAACCACAAAATTGCATTAGGTACATCTGAATTGTAGTGATAAATGCAAATGTAATAATGCCGATATGAAAAAAAAAAAAAACTTTATAGAAAGAAAAGGGTTAAACTGATTTTTTTTAATTCCCTTGATATTCAGTTACATCAGCGCCTTAGATAAGGATGCATGCCCACCTATATGTTTATCATCGCCAAAATCCTAAAAAAATATCCATCCAAAGTTAGGAGTCTGTAGTCCAGTGGTTTTTGTTTGTTGTCGTCTATCATAGTTAAATTTCGGATTGTGTTATAAGCTTTAATCTGGCCAAGGACTGTATTTTTTTTAAATTGTTTCACATATTGTTATATGTTGTAATGTTACACTACTATTTCAGGTTAGGGTGAAGGTCGGCGCCTGTTAAAACGTTTAAACACGCTGCATTTGTTTGCACCTGTCCAAAAGTCAGGAACCTGTTGTTCAGTGGTTGTCGATTGTTAATGTGGTTCTTAAGTGTTTCTCGTTTTTTATATAGATTAGACCGTTGGTTTTCCTGTTTGAATTGTTTTACACTAGTCATTTTAGGGCCCTTTATAGCTTGCTGTTCGGTGTGAGCCAAAGCTCCGTGTTGAAGGCCGTACTTTGACCTATAATTGTTTACTTTTTACACATTGTGACTTGGATGAAAAGTTGTCTCATTGGCACTCATACCACATCTTCTTATTTCTATATATCGTGGATTTTTTGTAGCTCACACTATCTTGGATTATATTTTATTCATCATTGAATGACAAAAGTGACATGTAGTTGTTTACACTCTTGGCTACTTGGTTTATAATAGACATTGCCAAACATACCGAGCATCCTTATATTTAATATTCAATCAAACATTACACTGCGATAAAATCTCATTGACAATTATATCACATGATCTATAATTCTTATAAATGAATACTAAAATAGTCCATTGATAAATTTTGAAATTTTTAAGAAACTGAGGTTTTAGCTCCCGTAGGCAAGACTGACATGAGTTTGTCTAATATTTTTAGGTTTCTTTTGATCATAAAGCTTTAAAGTGTTTGGTACTTATATATTTCTTTGGCTTTGCGCGTTCCGGTTAAAAAGCAAGTCCAGAAAATCTCTTCTGACGCATAAAATTAATCAATTGCTATTCTAATTTTTAACGGTCTAACATTTTGTTGCTTATGTTTTGTTATTGCACCGGGTCCTTTTTTTAACAATGTTAATGACGTCTTTACACTATACCCATTTAATGTGTAATGCTTATTTTACTCTGGGAGGCATGATTGATTTATAAGTTGTAACTGCCTGCGAAGTAGCTTTCAGTATCTGCGAGCACTCCTCAATTGGTATTTTATTTTATTATTCATTTTGTGAATTTTGTTTTTGTTTTTTTGTTTTTTTTTCGTGTGTCGATTTGCTGAGTAAAGCCTTTTTCTAATGAATTTTATAGTTAGAACTTATGTTGTGCTTTATTACAACTGCTAAGATGAAGAAGAGTTGAACGCTCAAACCCATGATAAACCTTACGCATTGTAAATATGCCTGTCACGAATTAGTAGCCTGTTATTCAGTATGTGTCGTTTGTACAATGTGACCTACCGAATTAGACTATTTACCGGGTTTGTACTTACATGAGCAACACGACGGGTGCCACATGTGGAGCAGGATCTGTTTACCCTTCCGGAGCACCTGAGATCACCCCATCATTCTTTGGTGGGGTTCGTGTTGCTTAATCTTTAGTTTTTTATGTTGTTTTTTGTGTACTATTGTTTGTCTGTTTGTCTTTTTCTTTTTTAGCCACAGCGTTGTCGATTTATGAGTTTGAATGTCCCTCTGGTATCTTTCGCCCCTCGTTTGTAGTTGTCTATCATATTTGTTTTTCGTCTATTGTTTTTCAATAAAAAAAGTTATACGTTTGTACATAAGACTCATCAGTGGCATATTACAAAACTTGTTGCTCCACCGATATTTATGTCAGATATCTTTCATGCTGATCGATCAATTCTAATTGTACAGAATTGTACAATAACAGAGAAGTACATACACTGTCATGGATATAAATTGTATACCATTCAAAAAAGTGTCACACTTATATCAATCTCTTATTTTGTATAATGGTTGTATACTCAAAAATACATTGAATAATCTATACTTTTTCATTAGTGAAGGCCGTACGGTTGCCTATAATTTGTTACATCCACATCATTTGAACTTTGGTGGATAGTTGTCTCATTGGCAATCATACCGCATTGCCTTATTTGTTGCTCAGCCTTTGTTTTTGTTATGTTGTTTTGTGTACTGTTGTTTGTTTGTTTGTTTGTTTGTCTTTTTCTTTTTTAGCCATGGCGTTGTCAGTTTATTTTCGACATATGAATTTAAATTTCCTTTTAGTATTCTTCGCCTCTCTTATATAACTTAATTTTAACAATCATTCACCAGATTTGTCAAATCAAATTTGTAATACATAACAGATTCATCGAATCATCGGCATAGATAATGTTGACGTCTTAAAAATAGGTAGAAAAAAAGATCCATAGAGTAGTATATTATTATTATACTTCACGTAAAAATGCAATATTTTGATTGGCTTATACGAGGGTGTTAATTTACTCTATTCTATGGTAAATACTCTATAACCTTCACGGAGCCGCTTGATCAAGTGTGCGCTTTCTTAAATACGACTCTATCCTATGACAAATACTCTATTACCCTTCACGGAGACGCTTGATCAAGTGTGCGCTTTATAAATACGGATGGTTGTTATGTACAAGACGTCATAGTTTATTACTTTGAATTTGAAATTTAATCGACAGTAATAACAGAACATTCAGTATAATAAATTAAATAACACATATCTGAGAGGGTGATAGAGCAGATTGTTACCCCTCGAAAAGACATTGTCAACCTTGGCTTCGCCTCAGTTGGCAATATTTTCTCGAGGTAACAATCTGCTCTATCACCCTCTCAGCTATGTGTTATTTATATAATGTGCTATTTTTTTCAATTTGAATATCTGTGATTTTAGAGACACTAAAAACTAAATGCACATGTTATTAAATAGTATAGTAAGAAATAATTAAATACATTGTACCTTGACTAAACCATGTCTTCAAATCTTCCCATCTCATCGTCATTTTTTCAGCTGTCATTTTGCTTTCCCTGAAATCATATTCCAATATGTTAATGAATTTGCCCTTGTTAATCTTGATTGGCTTGATAAAAAGGAAAATCTGATGTTATAAGGAATTATTTTAATGCAAAAGAAAAACATTGGAAAACATGCTAGACATGCTAAACAAATAATAGAAAATAAAACTATATTGAAAGTATACATACATTCATTTAAAGAATGTGAGCTTAAAATTACCAAGCAACTGTGAGATAATGCATTGTTGCAATGGGTGTCACTTAAATGAAATTGTTCTAATGATAAAAATTAATTTAAAGTAAGATTACGTATTGATTAAAGTTAGATTTTCAGTATTGTCTTATTATTATGTTTGCGCAACTTGGTTATCAATTGCATTTTTTTTATACATGAATTGTCCTTTCATCGTCCCATGTGTTTTTGTCTGATATTTATTTTTATAAATACTAATAAGGAATCTCTTTTTCTTTTTTGGATTATCTGTGGACGTACGATTGAACCTCAGTTAAAACGTTTGAATTAAGATATCATAACAAAAATAGAAACTTTCTTCAATATTGTTATAAAAATAAATTGTAACAGGTGTTTAATTGCATGTTCACGATTGTTTGTTTTCGATCTATGAGTTTGACTGTCCCTCTGGTATCCTTCGTCCCTCTTTTAAAAAAAAACCTTTACATTTTATCGATAGCGGCGAGATAGTCAAAAACCTAACACATACATTTATTTATAATTTAATTGAATCTTCATCCACACTCACGGACCTGTTCAAACATAAAAAAAACGGTTTGATATTTGGCAACCATTTTTAGATTTCTTTAGAAATTAATACAAAGATATGATACAAGATGGCAGCCAAACATACAATCAAATAAAGACAGATAATAATATCGCAAAGATGTGAAAGAGACTAGTAAGAAACACTTATACAAACACCATACAGAAAACCAAAAATTTAACTACATGAGCTGATCTAAGAAAGGTAAGTACCTCCTACTGTGGAATTAGTACCCGTTGAAAACTTCAGTGAAATTTGTAAATTAAAACAGTCGTAAACTACACGTATAGGAAACTTATGAGTAGAAAAACATTAGTAATTCTGATGATGTTTACATTTTATGTACAGAAAATTTAAGAAAAAAAGACAGCAACAATGATATTTCGTCCCAGCACAACAACGCTGAAAACGGGATGAAAAATACAAAAATATTTGAATGAGTCTCCAAAGTTTTTTAGAAAATCCCTTTGTGCAGAAGAAAAGAAAATACCTATAAGAGAAATCTATTGAAAATAATTCTTTATTCATACTTGGTACAAAACAAATCGAAAACCTAAGCAATATAACGTATTCAAAAGAAGACAAGATCCAATAGAATATCATAAGTTAAGAAATTAAGAAAGGAAAAAATATATGTGTATGAATTGAAAGTGTTGTTATGAAAGCATTATAACATACTCTTCTTCAGCCAATTCTGTTAAAACTTCATAAAAGTCAATTTGTTCACGTAATCCTTCATCTTCCTCACGTCTCACATTCAGTACTATGTCAAAAGTGGCTGTTTGTTCAGAAGTAACCTCTATTGTTGACTTATACTCCTGTTGATTGAAATTATGAAATTGTTAAGTAAATATTTTAATGAATTCACTTTGTCTGTAAGTTTACAGTTTATAAATTTGGTAATAAACTAAAACTAAGGTTGAAATTACATCAGATCTCGGATGGTTTTGGCCGTTTTGCATAAGGACTTCATATTTTATGGTCTCAATATCTAAAATGTTTGACTTTTTTATTTTTTTTTTTTGGATCGTACCTAATAAACGTGATTTGAGAAACGCATCTCGTATCGTATTTTTTTTCATTTGAAAAGCAAAGCTAGGAATACCATTAAGTTTTAAAGTGATATGCATCAACTAGTTACAATCCTTAAAAATCTTATTAGAGTAGCAGAAATATGCTTTGATTTGCATTTGTAATCATTGGTTGTGTAATTAAATGAACGAATAAATACTTTAGAAAATAGAACGTTTATATTGTCATTAGAAAAGTAGTAGCAGTACGTGTCAATGTAAAATGGAACAAAACAAAAGTAAGTCAAAGTGGTTAATATCGTTTTAAATGTAATCTAACCTTGTGTAAGGAAGGTACATAACTTGGTCGTGTATTAAATAGGTACTTGCCTCAATTTGTAGTTTATTTGTTGCTAGTTTCTCTTGAAGCATATTTTTTTCTTCTCTTAGTTTGGAAATTGTTCTAGAATCTTCCAGTTTCTCTTTGTAGACATAACTAATCTTTAAAAAAAAATCTTAATTTTTGGTGATTTCAATAAATGATTTTTTTTTTTTAAGGCCATACGTTTGTTTATATAAAAATAAGGATATGTGGTATGATTGCCAATTATACAACTGTACACCAAAGTTCAAATGAAGTAGATGTAAGCAATTATAGGCAACCGTACGGCCTTCAACAATGAGAAAACCCATACCGTATAGTCGGCTATGAGAGATATGAAACAATTCGATTGAGAAAACTAACAGCCTAATTTATAACAAAACAATTTACGAAAATTAAATATGTCAGAAATGAACCACCGACAACCACTGAACTACAGGTTCCTGACTTGGACAAGCACATAAAGAATGTGACGGGGTTAAACATGTTTGTGAGCGTTCAACCCTCCCCCTAACCTGGGACAGTGGTGTAACAGCACAACATAAGAACAAACTATGATTGCTTATGCTTGATTACGTCCACTTCAGTTGAGCTTTGGTGGATACTTGTCTCATTGGCAATCATATCACATCTCCTTATTTTTATATTTGTGTCTCAGTCATGTTATATTTGAACATACATTTTGCTAGAATTGTAGTTACTTATAAGATTAATAATCAGTTTAAATATCTTTAATCCTAAGTAAGATATTTTACGGGCAACTGATATATAAAAGAGAGGCGAAAGATACCAAACTCATAAGTCGAAAACAATAGGTGCTCCTGAAGGGTAAGCAGATCCTGCTCCACATGTGGCACCCGTTGTGTTGCTTATGTAAGTACAAACCAGGTGATACGTCTAATGCAGTAGGTCACATTCGAGAAAAAGAGGACGGGATTGTGGTTGCAACAAATTTGTGATGGCGTCCTATATGTTACTAAAAGTCAAGAACCTCTTTTGGATGTTTCCTGAAGTTTAATTAGTATTTATAGGTTATGTAATACATCTTTCGTCAGTAAATGTTACATATTATTGAATTCTTTAACTGTAGTTGTGCAATAATTTGGTGACACGATTTTTTTTTCGAAGTATTGGCTGTACCACGTGATTGTGTCCACTACATAAAGCAGAAGGATTGTGTTATAAAAAAATCATTACTGTATCGAATATTTCTGTGAGGTTGCCTCAAGTAGAAGTTCAACCATTTAGAGCTCATATGATTCCCTCATTTTTGTTTGTTACCTTGATTTATCTCCTCTTAACCGATTAACGCGATTCTAACATCGGTAAACTATTGGCACCGAAACTAAAAAGGTAGAACCATGATAAAACCATGGAATTTTATAAGTCTTGGTATCTTTGCAACACGTAAATGTTGTGCATGAATATTTTACAACAATTTAACAAATTAAATATGTAATTTCTCAAAAGATGTTTTGTTTGGCACATGACATATACAAGTATTTGTGCTTTGAATGATAACAATATTTTACAGGATGTTCTGAAAAATATTGATAAAGGTTTAATAAATGAATAGGATTGTTAAGTAAATATTTAAAAAAAAAATTCATACAAGATGCCAGGGCATATAATTGTGTACGCCAGACGTGCTTATATATGAGCTGCGTCTGATAAAAATCACATACACATGGACATGTATAAGACTTTGATTGATTTTGGAACATTCAAATACGAAATAAAAGATAAATTATGGTCTGTTTTGTACGGTTCTGATAGGAACTCAATTTTCAAACAGTTACATACTTTCAGTAGAGATTTTGTCAACCCGAAATAAGTTAACAGATGTATTGATATTCATTTGCATAAGAGCGATTTCTATCCGACGCAACTCATATAAAGGTGGTTACCGATTTCTACACAAATCATCCGGTTTTAATACAAAGATAGGAATGAAATACATTGAATGGAGCCATATCTAATTAAGTGAGATCAGGTGGGTCACAATTAACGTCTTCTGAATGCACCCCATCACATGATTGAAAAGTACCATTAAGAAGAAGTTAACAAAACCACAAAAAAATTGATATAGCGAATAGTGGAATCTTTAAAAAAAAGTTAAAAGCAATAAGAATTTGAGACATTTAGGTACTATAACGAGCATCAAATTCATAATGACGGTTCATTCCTCCTATTCCCACTTTTTATAAATCTTGTAAGAAAAGTTAAAATTTCATGTGGGAATAGGGGGAAACTTGTGCAAACAAAGGATTATACTGTATAAACATTGTTTAATCAACTTTTAATTGACAAGTGTTTCTTTGGATAGGTAATAGTTAATTTTTGTATGTGTGTGAATTCTGTGTTTTTAATTAAAATAAATTTGAAAGAAATGGAAAAAAATATAAGTAAATTATTTTATTTCTTTTATAACACAAATTCAACAATAGATTCAAGCAAGCATTATACTATCTATCATCAATTTATTTGTTCGGATGACAATATTCTAAGTTTACAAATTAAATGATTTTTTAATCTTACTTCTATTTATCCGACTTGTTTTTTTTATTTTTAAGTAATTCTTTGAAGAAGAAAAACATATTACAAATTAACTGTGTATTAATTATTTTTTTTTAAATAATATTATACTTAAAAAGTGTAAGAAATATGTTTTCTTTTTAAAAATACAGGTAAATCTTAGGTGAATTTTTAATTAATCTTGATTGTTATGAAAACTTATTTATCAAAACATCTATTGTTATTTGCATGTGGGAATAGAAGGAATAGTGATTTTTAAAAAGTGGTAATAGGAGGAAGACACCATAATGACGACCTTCTTTCTTGTAAAATGACAATGTTAATTGCTGTTCAAAATTACAGGAATTTTATTCCATAATATCGCATAGCTGAAGAAAAAAAAATTATATAAATTGATAAATAAGTCTTTTTTATTATTTGTTATTGGCTTTAAACTAGCTTTCAGCAGCTGCGAGTTCTTTCAGATCTATACTTTGTGTCTAAAGTAATCTTGATAGTTTTTATGTGTTTGTGTCGATCTGATGAGTCAAGCATTTTTAACTGATTTTTATATTTTTACTTATTTTGAGCTGTTGCACCACTATCCAAGGGTAGGAGGAGGATTCTATATGTGCCTGTCCAATGTCAGGAGGTTGTAAATCAGTAGTTTTCGTGAGTTGCTGTATATCATGTTTGTATTTTGTTTATTTTTTTTTATGTAAATCTTCTTTTCTATATTGTTTTTACATTTTTCATATCGGGGGCTTTTATAGCTTGATATGCAGTATCGGTTTTTGCTCATGTTGAAGACTGTACGGTGACATAAAGGTGTTTTCTTTTTCGTCATTTGGTCTCTGGTGGAAAATCTTATTAGTAATCATACGACATCTTCTTATTTTCATATAGTTGATGAAAACGAGTGTTACTAACCTAAAAGATGTAAACATTGGTTATATTTACCTGTCTCTCAAACTCCTCCTTCTGTTCCATGACTAGTTTTCCATACTTTCCATACTCTGTCTTCTTTACCTTAGTTACCTGTTATCATGTATGATATATAAATCTTGGTCACAAATAATATTCTTTTCCTTCAAATACTAATAAACTACAGACTGCAGTTTGTTGAAGGGTTTTTATAATTATAACTTTCACTACTCGTATATTATGCCTTAAATAATACAGTTAACTTGTTGGTTTAAACAGGTATTTCTTTAATGCTCATGTTTGATATATAATACGTTTTATTTACATCAGAGTTCATGCAGTGTTTCCGAATTTTTCGATTGGGGGGAAGATAGCTCTGCTCTTTTTATATTTTTATGTTATTACTTAAGTCTTATAAATGTTTCAATGTTGCTTAGTTGCTTTTTGATAATAAGATGAACGTTACTCTGTAACGTAAAAAGCATTAAGGAAGGTTTGGGGTTAGGATTAGCCTTATTTGGAAAATGAATCGTACTTTGTAAAAATCTGATCCTATAACATATTCTTGACAATGACAAAGTCCTAAAGCTTGAATGTTTAATTCGACTTATGATTTAAAATGATCATTTTATCGCTTTGTCATACTTTTTATGGATTAATTCCTTTCTAGTATTCGCTGCTATACTGCGTTTTCTTCTAGACTTGCTATCTTAAATTGCGACAAAGCGTAAAGGACTGGAGGCTTTGAAAACCTAATAACCCGACTTTATGTTGATGTATTCAGCTTAACGGGTAATAAAACTTTTAAGGAGTTACTTTCTGTTCTTACAAAAATTAGACTGATATTGAATCATGCGGTTATGTTGTTTAGTTTCACTGTTAAAGGGTATAAAACTAACGTAAAACATCATCATTTCTAATTTCATTGTATTGCCCGAGTCCTAGAGAAAGGAAGAAATCACTGTACTAATATATTGAGGACAAGACATGATAAATCCATGATTCGGACTTAAATATACCTAATGTATCACTTTTTCTAGTTAGCCAATGCCATGAGTTTTTGCTTTCAGTAGTGCATTTTTCTTTATCTTTGACAAGATCTAAGTACGATTGAGTAAGGTTTCATTGCACTTTTACAAATGCAAAGAGCTAAGAGTAATTTTTAAATGACAAAAATAAATTTTGTTCTTAACTAACTTTGTAAAAACCATTACTTACTTCAGTTTTGAATTCTGCTTCTAGCTTTGTAAAGTAGTTTTGAACTTTCGTCCAGAATGTAGATTGCATATTGTAAATCAATCTGGAAATATCCCTCAAGGATACTTCTATAAATTCCTCCGCAGTCTCTGCCTGTACCCGAACGGATTCAAATATCTAACAAATATTAAAAAAAAAAGTAACATTGGAAAGAAGGTGACTAGGAATTCTATAGATCTTTATTGACTAATCATGTAGTTCTAACTTTGACTTAGTGAGGATTCGTATGACGGGTCATGCATATCATGATATAAGTAAACAAATCCAGAAAAGCGCTTCGGACACACGCTATTAATAACGCGTTATATTCATTTCAGTCAGTCGATAACATCAGGTATCATCAATTCAGTAGTCAATGAATTAAGAAATTATTCAGAAAAGAAGGTTTCAACTCCATCAGGCAAAGTAAACCTTAAATAAATTTGGCTACATTTTAGGTCCCTTTTGGTCACATAGTTCTTCACGTGTTTTTATTTTAGTCATTGTTGGCTTTCAAATATTTGGTTTTAGCGTTCTTGATGACGGTAAATCCATAATGGCGCTTCGTACGCACGAAAATGATAAGTATTATTTCCATTTACTGTCATGATATCAAATCAAGGTGTACCTAGTTTTCTATGTAATGTTATATGGGCTTGTTCGTCTTTTTCGTCGTGTTTCGTTTTTTGCAGTTGTCAGTTTTGTATCAACCAATGAGTTTTGAATATCCCCGTGATATCTTCAGCCCTTTTTTCAAGATAGTACACACGTATTGGCATTTATTACATTCAATGAATATAAACTTATATGTTTGCATTATACTATTCAAGTTTAAAATATGAAAGCAAGTTGTTGTACATATTTTGATTAAGATGCTTTTAAACTTCGTAAATTATTTAACCGTTTATGATATTTAGTAAATTTTATGGATGCAGGAATCATTAAAAGAATTATTAAAAACAAACCTTAAGCTTCCGTTCACATGTCTCCATTCTCTTTTCCGTTATCTTGGTTGTAATCTCTTGCCTATAGTACTTCTAAAATATAAGAGATACTTAGAAATAACCGCCGAAAAATGTTTTTTCTCTAATTAATCAGTTTGAAAAGGTGTTCCTTTCAATCAGGATTTATGCATTGCAGTGATGAATTAAACGGAACCCTTATAAGACGTTTCAGATCGAAATCTGCGAGCCTTTTTCAGTGCAGTTTTGGCTTTTAGAACAATCCTTGAACGATGTTTACGTAATTCGTTTACTTTAGTAGCTCAAGATTTGTACATCCTCACAAAATCTGAAGCCCTTAAATGGGTTTAACATTCCTATATAAACTCACCATCCGTAGAGTCTTATATTATAATAGTATATAAAAAATGATAAAATTAATAAAGAAACAAATGATCAAATCATACACATTTATGCTGTTTCAAGTGCATCTCTGGATTTTTAAGTTAACATGATTTATCGTTTTTTTTTAATATATTATACCACTTGCCTCTTTTAATACGGTATTCTTTTCTTCCACTTCAACATATTCTTGTGTTTTCTGCTCAAGTGTTTGCTCCGTGTTTCGCAATTTTAATTCAAGTTCATTGATAGTTTCGGTTTGCTTCATATAGTTATCCAACATGTTTTGGTACTTCGATTTGAAATCTTCCACACTGCAATACATACAATGACAAATTTCTAAACCTGCAAACTTTATATTTTATTAAAAGAGTCGAATCCAATAAATAAATGATTCCTTAGAAAATAAAACCCAATTTGAAATGCAAATAAAGAAAATTAAATGAATAAAAAAGAATATTTTATTGAGAACTAATACATTCAGAACATGCTCGCATTCAATAGAATAAAAGATGCATCTAGAAAATTTGAAAAAAGAAAATTCTTGACAGTTATTCAAGCGAAAAACGTATATTCTAAAATGCAGATGGTTTAACTTTTTCAAGAAAGGGACACAATCAGGCATGGTTCCTTTCTATGTGGAAACCCGTCCTCAAATTTATGAACTATTTAAAGAATTTAACTGTCAGTTTGGTTCAATTGTGTCAAAAAAACTCAAAAAAATAGCTGGGTTGCAAGTCAATAATTCGACCTCATCTGAATCTGTTCCCATGCAATCTTTGATATAATCTTTGTTTGAGATGCGCGTGCGCATTGCATGTCCAGTGATTGAAGATTGAAATAAACAATTAATTTCCCCAAAGGCGACAATGATAGCCTTTTTCGAGATACAGACTTTAGAAAGTTGATTTTTTTAACGAAACCTTGCTAGAATTAAATAAAAGATATTTGGGATGAAAAAACGAAAAATATCAAAAGCGACAACTTTATATACAATATCCTTAAAGATAAAAGAAACTGGATTTCGGAATGGACAAGACTGAAATTAGCTTTTCCAAAATCGTTCAAGGACAGACTAAAAAACGTCCACGTTCATCCCGAACAACAAAAAAGGGTTATTATATTAAAAATACTTTTGAATTTTACAATAAACAGAACAAAGTAGTAATCCCAAGTGAAATATCTTTGAAATTAATCCAATATTCGTTAAATTTAGATATAGTTCCAAACTGTCACATAAAATGGAATATTCAGTATAATTCGGAATTACCTTGGAAAAAGATATGGCTAAATTTAAATGAAAGTATGTCCTCTAGGAAAGAAAATCAAATCAGCTGGAAAATTGTTCATAACATTATCTATACGGAACAAAAACTATTTAGAATCGGCAAATCAAACAATGGTAAATGTCATTTTTGTAAAACAGAAAACGAAACCCTCACACATCTTTTTCACAGCTGTAACATTATAATGGTGGTTTGGGAACATATTTTTGATGCGTTTAAAAAGTATAATGTACTGAATAACACAGAGTATATTCCAATAAGAGAAGAACTTATCATACTAGGAATGTACAAATACAACAAAAAGTATAATGTCATAATCAATACGATTATGAATACAGTTAAATGGATTATTTGGAAATGTAGGAATATAATCAAATATCAGTCTAAAAGTTTTACTTCCAGTCAATTGATATTATATGCAAAACGGGAACTGGGCAGTTTAATTGAATCTATAGATATATCATTATCTTCGAAAAAAGAAAATTTTGCAGCTGAAATAAAACTAATAGTAAATCTTATACATTCATAAGTAACTTATCAATTTTGTACTTACTTTCTTTTCCATTTTAGAACATTGTACATCCAACAACAGAAATATATAATACACACGAATTTACAATGTCGAGCATGTGACCTATAAAATCACTGACCGACACATTACAATGTAATCCAGGTGTTAAAAGTACAATTTTAAATGTCAATTATAAGTAAAGATAATGTGTAGATTGTATAGTGTGTCTTTTGATGTATTTTATGATATCTAATGTAGAATGTTATAAATCCTTTTTAGGCAAACTCTGTCTGTGTAATGAATATGAATGTATAACTTATATGCAAAAAAGTTAGAAAAGATTTTTTTTTTGTAATAGAGTCCACCGTTTATCCCTGGACGATGGACCATTGTAGACACAGGGCCCCTTGTGTATACTTCCCTGGGTTATACAAGGTAAATTATATTCAGGTGATTTTCAATAAATGTATTTCAAGTCAAAAAAAAAAAAAAAAAGAAAAGTTATAAGGACAGTATTTTTTGGTCCAAAAAAATATAGGTTCGCGTTGCTTTTCTTAGCGTAATTTGTACTTATTTCCCATGCCTATCAATTTTGCACTTAAAAATACGTGTCTCATCCTAGCGTTTAAAAGACATCTCAGTTCCGTTAGGGCTAAGGAAAATAATTTATTTGGCCTTTGGTATAATGCAGAAGTATCTAATAACAAAATATAACGGGCGCACATATCAATCAATCAGGATTAGCTATACTCTTAATTCTGAATACCATGTTATGCTCATAAAATGTCTGCGCCCATAAAATCTAATGGTTGATTGTTACCTGAATAGAATGACTGCTGAAAGTAAAACTACGGAAGGCAGTAGCAAAAAGACCGATTTTGTTGATTGATTTGACTTGCCAAAAACTCGGTCTTATACAGGTTATCAGTAAATGATTTTTAATCTAATTTATTTTGTTTTATCAATGAATTGCGATAAAACAGAATTATAATAAAATGTTAATAGAAATAAGAAACTCCAAAGTAAATTTTAAAGGGAAAGCTCCATAAATCTTGACAAAAACATAAGTTCAACTATATCAACCAAAGAAATGAAAATTGACATTGTACTCGTGCACATGCTTATTTCTCTTTTTTATATTTTATGTTTTCATGTCTATGTGTATATTTATTATTAAAGCGGGGTTACATGCCCATCGACAGTTTTCGTGGGTCATGTTGATAGTTAATTAGAAGGCGTCTAGTCAGGAAAACACATGAATTTGTCATACTTTATAACTGTATAACAATTCCAGACATGTTGTTTTTCCATTGAAATATTGTAGTTCTAATATTGAATAACGTTTTAGTATATATTTAATCAAAGTTGAGTAAGTTGTTGTAGTTCTAATATTATATATGCAAAAAAACTTGGTATAGCTATTGGCGCGACTTCCGAAAAGAAGACAATAATAGAGTAGATGCTTGTAAAATGTATCTATAACAGATAAACATTGAATTAACGATATATATTCTATATTTATCTACCTACAAATATGAACTCGAAAAGACAAGGCTTCATATATTTGATGTAACAGTATCATTATCAGTTTAGAATGAAGTTCAGTTGTACTACTAGTCATAAAATGTAATTAATACAAGCATTATCTGGTTACCATTATGGTACTATTTGGTCACTCAGTGCCACTGATAAGTATAAATAATACAACCATTATCTGGTTACCATTATGGTACTATTTGGTCACACTGAGTGCCACTGATAAGTCTTATATAAAGGAGATGTCGGGTATACGTCAATTAGAAAGTTACCCGTCGACACAAAAAACCGAACAAACATTTAGAGATTCGTCAAGCCTGGAATATTTGTTGACTTTTACAACCATTGGGTCAATGCATCTACTGGTGGACGTTATCAGAAACACTTTAAATTTTAAAGTTCATAAAGATAATACGAAACACTTAGGGTTTTAACTCGTCAGCAAAGATTAAGTTTCTGAGCATTTTTTTCCTTTCAATCATCATTTATTATTAACGATGTTAATGATTTGGCCTTCGTACTGTTTTTATTTGAGCGCCACTGTTTAGTTTAATGTATATAATTGTGCGGTTCTAGCGTACAAATGTAAAAGGAAGGTATCTTTAATGATTTTTTTCTTTTTGTCAAAAGAAAGACGACTGAAAGCAAAGAGAACATTCATCTGTAACTTTTCATCCTATTATATCTTACCAAAAATGTTGCATTTCTGAACGGTAGATTCAGGTAAACTTAATATGTGAAGGGATAAACTAACAAGCAAACAAAACTTTATAATAAAAACACTTTTGTCTTAAAGTTTTAGACATAAATAGAACTCAAAGTTTAACACGTAAACAGACTCTCAAATTTAGATTGAAATCGTAGGGTTGAATCTTAAAATTTATAATATTTTTTTTTTTCATTTTTTCAATCTCTTAAATTGAATAAAACAATGACCTCAGCTTAAAATATAAACCACATACAAAACTTCCAGATAAATATTGTTTTACTTTTCTCACCTTTCCTTCAATCTCACGGTTTGCGTTTCTAGGGTGATGACCTCGCTTTGCAGCCTATCTACTGTTTTAATTTCCTCATTATACTCAGTTTTAAGGCTTTCAATTGCTTCACTGTATGACCTCCTCTCAACTTCAAGCTTACTCCATATTTTTGCATCATCCTTCACAATTTTGTTAATCAGGATTGACAGAAAACGAGTGTTTAAGTCATACATTCTATCTTCCAAGGAACTTTTTGCAAATGCTGGTGTAAAATTAGCAACATGGGCAAAAACCCTTTCTTCGAAACTCTGAAACGAATCCGGAAATTACAGACCATGTAGTTAAATCAAGTCAGATAGCAATGAAAGATTCAAAATCAGATAGCAATGAAAGATTCAAAGTCAGATATCAATGAAAGATTCAAAGTCAGATAGCAATGAAACATTCACAGTCAGATAGCTATGAAACATTCAAAGTCAGATAACAATGAAAGATTCAAATAATTAACATAAATATGACAAAAATAGATAAAATTGAGAATGGAAACGGGGAATGTGTCAAATAGACAACAACCCGACTAAAATGCAGAAAACAGCCCAAGGCTACCAATGGGTTTTCAACACAGCGAGAAAATCCGGCACCCGGGTGCGGGCTTCAGCAGGCCCCTAAACAAAAATGTGTCCTAGTTCAGCTAAAATTGACGTCAAACTAAACTCCGAAACATACAAATGAACCAAAATTAAAAAAACATACAAGACTAATGATATCGAAAACCCTGGTGTAATAATTTTTCATAGTTTACTTCACTTATATCATAAGAAAACTAGAGTTATTTTGGTGCATATTAAGAGAAATTAAAACACCTAAATGTCATTGTCATATATCAGAAAAACCTAGCTAGAGATCAAACGTTGATGAACAATGCGGGCAATGATATCAACCAAATAGTAATAATATAAAACTAATAGAAACCGAAGTAATTAGATGCATATTATGTGCATTCAGAGAATTTATTTCTTATCAGTTTTACCCATTTTTTTTCCGATCTCACTGCTTTTAGAGTTCATGCTATTTCCTCAGATTCTGATTGTTAGCTTGATTTACCCTTTGAATTAATTTATGAGATTTGTACAGCGGGAAACTACTGTTGCCTTTATTTAGTCGACACAAAATCCTCTGTACACACACATTTGATTTTTAAGTCATCTCACGAACTTAAAAAGATTTTTCTTTAATCCTCCGATGACCATGCACCTACCATGCAAATACAGAGGTTCCAATCCCTACTCCAGATCAAATCCTCAAAAGAGGCATTTTCATTTGGGGAAGTGTCACGAAAGCTTTCTAATTAGCACTTGTCTGTTACATACACAGTGTTTGGTGCGGCAAGTGGCTTTAATTACTATGATTTCAATCCACTGAAAGCATATGGATCTATATATTATTTATCTATAGATACCTATACAGTTTTGAATTCTTATTATAGATTATCTTTCAAAGATAGTGTTCCAAAAAGTAAGGTAACGATAATACCGAACTCCTAGGAAAATTCAAATCGGAAAGTCCTTTATCAAATGACAAAATCAAAAGCTCAAAAACATCAAACGAATGGAAAACAACTGTCATATTCCTGATTTGGTACAGGCATTTCCTCATGTAGAAAATGGTAGATTAAACCTGGTTTTAAAGTTGACTAAACCTCTTACTTGTATGACAGGCTCATAGAATTCCATGATATTGACAACAATTTGTGAGCAAACTAAACAGACATAATAGGTAAAAATGTCAAAAATTTGGGTACAGCAGTCAACTTACAGATCGGATCTTTACAGATGTATTCAAGATGCAAAGGTAATTTAATGATTAAATATATAAAGGACTAATAGTTTAACCAAACAATGTCCTAGTAATTTATGTCCTCCAAATCGTCTCTACACACAGATTTATATATATATATAAGAAAAATAATATAAGATAATGACGGTTTCAATTCATCACTTTTACTAGTCACATTACCTGAAGATCTGTGAAAGCAGTGAAAGCGCTAGTAAAAGTGATGAATTGAAACCGTCATTATCTTATATTATTTTTCTTATATGTTACCAGCATACGGATTCTATTTGACTTTTCTTTATATATATATATATATATATATATATATACAAGTCTAAATTGAAAACAACGTTCAAACCTATGATTGCGTTGGATAAAAAACGCAATTTATAAACGTGTGCATGCAAAACAAATTTCTTGTTAGAGGGGTCTAAATACAGAACAAACAACATTTTCCAAAAAACCAAAAAAGTGAAAAAGTATATTTTAACAAAACGCAATTAACTAACAGGTCGAACAACAAATGTTCTTAAAACCTGCTGACTGCCATTGGTGATTGCCAAATAAACGGATCACCGATGTAATAAATGGATCATTATTATAAATTTAATACTAAACAGAAAACAATAAACTTGTGGAAAAGATGGTATACCGCAAACAAAAGGTGCAAAGGTTTTTGTACACCATATCCGGATTTCGACAATTAATGTCTCTTCAGTGATGTTAGGAATCGAAACGGTATTTGGAAAGCCATACAATTTACCTCAATTAAGAATAGACTCTTGAATTGTGAGGAGTCAAAATAGGATGAACGGATCATATAAAACCGAAGGCAAATATAATACAAGACCAAACGAAAAAATATAACCAAGTCTAAATTGAAAACAACGTTCAAACCTATGATTGCGTTGGATAAAAACCGCATATTCTTATACATGTGCATGCAAAACAAATTTCTTGTTAGAGGGGTCTAAATACAGCACAAACAACATTTTCCAAAAGACCAAAAAAGTGAAAAAGTATATTTTAACAATATATATATATATATAAATGATATTGAAATTTTTGGTTACAGCAATATTTGTTCTTCTCGTCCCGGGATTTAAACTCCTGTTTCTGTGACATCGTGTAAAAAAACACTGACTGCGTTAAGTCCATCTCAATAAGCATTTATAGGACATGTAAGAAGGATTGAAATTCTCCTACGGTACAGAATATTAGATTCTAACCTCTACTTTATTTTCTTGATAATTTGCACCATGGCAACCAAACTGATTAATCATCATCAACGCCAAAGAACAAAACAAATGCAGCTCCATCTTCTATCTTGTTTTCTTCCTGGAAAAAGAAAATATGTTAAATATATGAGGTTAGAAAAAAGTAAAATAACAAACATACCGAACTCCAAGGGAAATTCAAAACGGAAAGTCCTTTATCAAATGGCAAATTCAAAAACACATCAAACGAATTGAAATCAACTGTCATATTCCTGACTTGGAACAGGCATTTACTTATGTAGGAAATGGTGGAACCTTGTTTTATAGATAGCTAAACTTCTCACTTGTATGACAGTCGCGTAGAATTCCATTATATTGACAACAATGTCTGAGCAAAAGAACCAGTTTTTCAAATTATTTCTGAACTGCTTAATCATTTATTTTTACCTGCTTATAAAATAAAATATTTAACTTGTTATTTACAATAAACTCAATGCCAATATTTTTAAATATGAAAATAAGAAGATGCAGTATAATTGCCGATGAGACAACTCTCCACAAGTGATCAAATGACATAGAATTTAACATCTACAGGTCACCGTACGGCCTTTAACAATGAGCAAAACCCATACCATATAGTCAGCTTTAAAAGGCCCCGAAATGACAAATGTAAAACAATTCAAACGAAAAAATTAACGGCCTGATTTGTGTAAATAAACAATGAACAAAATACAAATATGATATACAGCAACAAACGACAACCACTGAATTACAGGCTCCTGACTTGGGACAGGCACATGCAGAATGTGGCGGGGTTAAATATGTTACCTGGCACCCAATCCTCCCCAGCTCATTTTACTACTATACCATGATGCATTCGAAACAATATCTTTTATTTAATATAAATATTATTTAAGTATGTTTTTCTATATGTTTGGAATTTCAATTAAACAGTGTATCCACCTAAACCAACTGTTCATTGCTCAATGTGTCAATTGCAAACTCACGAAAGGCTCAAACTATAGTTTCTATACCTTGGACAAGATACATAGGTACATAGAATATCAGATGTTTTCCAATGTGAATAAAACCATATATTCACCTCTTCAAAACATAGTAAATATATAGTTTTAGCTTTACAACATTTTTACTGATTGAGACATACATTAACAGTGTCGTAGCTTGGCCCTTATTGCTAATGAGGCAAACGATTTGAGGCTAAGTTGTAATAGCCACGCAGCCGTTATACGATTGTAATCCAGATGAGGAGCGGACAATTAATTGGTGTAAACTGATATCGCAAAAGACGTTTACAAATTCAAAATGTTGTTCAAGCTTGATTAATTGTTGTATTTGTTTACATCCACTGACAAAAAGTTCATGCATATTCAGGACAAAATCAAATTATTAATAACCCAATAGATAGGTTTTGCGAAGTGGGTTGACGAGAATGTGACCACGTATTTCGTATTTGAAAAGGAGAGTGTGTGAGAAGGACATACATTTCGCAACATGCTCTCCTATGAACTCCCGACAGTATCCAACAGCGTCAATTCAATGTTTTTGTTTTACATGTAGAAAACGTGGCACTCTACCTATACAAAGCATTGGATTTAACACGTCGTCGTCCCGCCCGAACGTTACTGCGTATTTATACATCCCCCATTGCCAAACGGACACCCTTTTAAGCCTGGAAGAGCGGTATACTACTGTTGCCTTTATTTATCACCACCGGATCGGAATCTCTGCTGGTGGACAGTACTGTCCCCGAGGATTCTACCAGTCCGGTAGCCTTACAGCATGAATACAAGTACAAGTACGATTATATCAGGTGTCTCCAGGATGACTATTGAACAGCGGTATACTACTGTTGCCTTTATTTACAACCTTTTACGCCTGGGTTTTACTGAAGGATATAAGAAGTTCGTGGATAAATATATTTATATAGCCTAGTCTATCCTTTTGGTATATTCAGAAAGTGAACAAATCAACTGTAAATCCATTAAGTAGGTTCTGCAAAATTGTCAATCGAACTGAAGGGCGGAAACTTAATTTAAGACTGCCAGTGGCAAAAGATGGTATGTTGAAAAGTGTCACATACCCGTACATCCCGCAACGCCAGACGAATGCCCCCTTCCACGGCATATACCAACCTGACGATCGCACAAACTATATCTAGGTCAACATATTTCTACACACTAGTACTAATACTACTATTATTCCATTTGGTCGTATGACTCTTGATTTGGCTCGATATTTGTGCATCCAGCTTTCAGGTTTTGGCTTTGGGCGTTCCTGGTGCGGTTGATCCGGAGTCGCGATTCGGACACACGAGGTTGTTTTTGTTTTTTTTTTACCCGTGTATTTGTACTTCTTCAGATATTTCATCATATTTTACTATAATGATTGTTTTATCAGCAACAACAAAAAAAAAAAAACATTATGGCGTCTTGGCAGGTTTATTTGTATGTTTGTTTGCATTTTTTACTCAATTTTGTTTTATGTCTGTGATGTTTGTTAACACAATATTCCAAACTGTTGTCACTTTAACCAACAATGTCTGTTTTAGGTTGCTCTTCCACTTTTGTCAATTTAACAGAACTTTAAACCACTGGGATACAAGTGGGAAGTTTAGATAGCTATAATACCAGGTTTAACTAACCGTTTGTTTTGAAAATGCCTGTTCCAAGTCAGGAAATGACAGTTGTTTTCTATTCGCTTCATTTGTAAAAATAGTCGAACGTTTGGTTTGGCAGGTTTTTGATGGACACCTCCTCGCTACCGCGGAGTTCTGTAAGATCTACTTTATTCCATAACTGTACACAACTTTCAACTACATCATATGTTTCATTGGACTCACAAATTCCATCATGTGTTGTTGCTCTTTGTCTTTTCTTCTTATTTTTACTTTTTCTTTTTTTTGGGGGGGGGGGGGGGGGGGGGGGTGAAACTTATGACTTGCTGCACATAGGCTCAAAGTTTTATTCAATGAAAAATTCTATTATTTTAAATATTTTTATTAAATCATAATACTATTTTCCAATGCACATTAAAAGAATTTGTTTTTCAAACTTTTAATTTCAATAATTTTAAATAGTATTATTTTGTTTTTGTGTATGTTGAAAAGAAAACAAGTCATTGTTAAATGTAGAAATATGTATATTTTACAGTGTAAAGAATGTACTGCTTAAAAATCAAAATAGATAAGACAATACTGTTTTGAAAAATTTAATTAACAATAATTTAATTTTGGATGTAATACGTCTTTTGATTGGCTGAAAGTTTTTTGTCTATCAGCTCGTAAACATAATTTTGTCATGTGACCGTGACGTCATCAACGTTTTTTCATGATTTATTCTTTAAAAATGGAATTTAGAATAAAATTATAAGAAATGACTGTAATATTTTTTCTGTCTATTCTGAATAACCCTAAAAATGTGATAAAACTTTTAGATAAAAAAGAGGGGCGAAAAATACCAAAGGGACATTCAAACTCATAAGACGAACATCAACTGACAACGCCATGGCTAAAACAGAAAAAGACCAACAGACAAACAATAGTTCACAAAACACATCATAGAAAACTAAAGACTGAGCAACACGAACCCCACCAGAAACTGGGGGTGATCTTAGGTGCTCCGGAAGGGTAAGCAGATCCTGCGCCACATGTGGCTACGCGGGTCATTCAGTGTGCACCACATTTTTTCATATACAGAAAAAAATATTACAGTCATTCCTTAAATAAACAAAAATGTCGGAGGGTCATTGAATGGTTAAAAGTTCATAAATGCTGGATTGCATTTTTGCCAGAAACACATTTTGACGAAAAATTTTGTTACGAAATGTCGAAACAAAAAGATTTTATTGTTTTATGGAGTCGTGACACGACAGCTAGTAGGGGTTGGGGAGGGGTAGCTATCTTAATTAAGAGGTCTCTAAACTTACTTGTTATAAATGAACATAGTGACTTTGAAAGGAGATAAATTTTACTGAATAGACAATTTGATCATAAGATATTTTCATTGTAAATAGGCTCATGAGAGACTGATATCGCTCACCTGTAATTTCAGTTTCAGGCATCTGACTTATTTGTAGATCTAACTTTGCTGAACAATTTTGTAATTTACACTTTCTCTCTTTCTATAATAATATTAAAGATAATACCTAACCCAAAACTGTAAAATTTTCTAAAAATTAACAATTTCTGTGGACAGTTACCAAACAATAAGTTGTCCTATGGGTCTGAAGATTACTTGACAGGTAGATCTAAACCTGTTTAACACTTTCACCTATGTCAGTTTTGGTCTTACTGCTTTAGTTTTTGAGATGAAAGCCAAAAACTTCATTTGACCCCTATGTCCTATTTTTAGAAACTCCCCCCCCCCCCCCATGTTTTTGAATGGATCAAATCACAGAATACAATCTATAAACTAGATACACTAAGGAACATTCAATTACAGTGTTTAAGTATTTGGCCAAGTAGTTTCAGAGAGGAAGGTTTTTGAAAAAGTAATTAGATATTTACAAAAAATGTAAAAAAAAAGTTTTAAGGGCAATAACTCCTCAAGGGATCAATTGACTATTTTGATCATGTTGACTTATTTGTAGATCTTACTTAGCTGAACATTTATTACAGTTATACTTTCTCTCTTTCTATTATAATATTAAAGGGACACTAGCTGTCAAATTCATGTTCACCGATTTGACTCAAATTCTCATATTTGATTTATAACAATGTCAAACATTTATTCAAATTATAAAAACAATATACCGGGCATGAGCTCGATAATATGTAGCTTTGTTTCGTGTGTATTTTAGTCTAGACGCCGTCTAATTAACTATCGAGTTGACCTCCGAACACCTCCGATTGCCATATAAGCGATATAAACATAAATATAGATATAAATAGATATCAGACTCGTGCATTTGGATTTTTCTAGGTCTGTTTAATTTCATTTTATAGATTAAAAATATATGTTAATCATCGTTTTTACCTGTATAAGAATGATTTTTTTGTGTTTATCGAATCAGTCAATTAAATGATTTACCTTTGTTTCACTTTCAATGTTGACATTCTTTTCATTTAAATAATTGAACACGCACAAAGCATGCGGTATCTAT